AAAAAAAAAAAAAAAAAAAGAATCTTTTAGTTCACCAAACTTCAAAGGCATCTTGAACACATATTTGAAAGAATATAAGTAGAAATGAAAATAAAGAGAAATGAAATAAACTTGACCAGTCCCTTAAACTTTGACAGTTGATAACTACTGCAGTTTGTGAACTAACATTACCTTTGCTGATGTAAAATAACTGCCCTGCTGTAAAGGAAATACGAAAAATTTATTCTGAGCCAATTATAACCAAAAAGTAGGAACACAGACTCAGATTGCTGTGACTGACATGTCCCACCATGGAAAAAGACTGCATGAATCTTGTACTCACAGAACAAAGAAAGTCACAAATCAGTACATTTATCCACTCTGTCTCCCTATGTAGTTCAGGCTGGCCTCAAACTCTTGGTAATCCTCCCTCCTCAGTCTGCTGAGTGCTGGGATCACAGGCACATATCACCATGCCTGGCTAAATGAGCAGTTTTTAAAGAGAAAATACAGCTGACCAGATTACACGCAGACCCTGAATACTTGCAGTCACTCTTACCGCCTACATCATCCTGTGCCTGGTGGGCAGCGGAGCTGGGTGGAAGTGTCACCTAGCAAAGCCACACTTCGAGGGCTCCTGGACACACAGCCACACTTTTCTGGAAGCAGGGCAGGTGTCAGCTCTGGAAACCTCTGCACAGATGTCCTACTGTTCTGTTCTCCCTATGTCATGGTTTAGACCTAAAATGTCCCCCAAAGTCTCACGTGCTCAGAGGTGGGGTCTTTGGAAGGTGACTGGATCGTGGGGTGCTGCAGATTAATTAATGACGAGTTCGTGGCTGAATGTGGGCTGGTAGGCGGGGCTGCGAGGTGGTCGCTGGGGTGACCTGAGGCGTGTTCTTAACTCCAGCTCTGCCCTCCTCTCTCTGCTTCCTACCTGCCATGAGGTGAGCTGTTTTCCTCCTCTTGCTTTGGAGCCAGTGGACTGTGAACTGAGCACTCTGAAAGCGTAAGTCAAGATAAATCTCTCCTTCTTTAAGAAGAGGTATTGGGGCTCTTGTCCCAGTGATGTAAAAGTGTATCTTGAATTGTTTTCTGATGAGAGAATTGAGAATCCCTATTTTGACTAGGCTACTTATTCTTATACTAATTTTTAAATGAACTACTAATGTATATTTATGAGATACAATGTGTTGTGTATGATATGTGTACATTGTGGAATGATTTAAGGAAACTACCATATCTTGCCTATTGTATTTTTGTGTGTGTGTGGTAAGAACATTTCACATCTACTCCTATCAACTGGGTGTAGTGATGCACATGCACACCTATAATCTAAGCATTTGGGAGGCTGAGGCAGGAGGATCACTGTGAGCTTGAGGCCTGCCTGCGCTACACAGGAAGAACATGACAAAAAACAAACAAACAAGCCCCCAAAATAATATTGAATATACCCCTATTGAAGTAGAGAACAGATTGGTGGGTGGTAGAGGCTGGGTGTGAGAAAGAAGGGAAAGAACAGCTGCTGGGCAAAGGGTACAAAGGTCCATTCAGATTGGAGAGATGTTTCAGTGATCCTCTGTATGGTGTGACTATTGTTCATAATACTGCACTGTGCATTGCAAAATTTTCCTTTTCATAAACATAATCTGGTTTTGCAGTGAAAACAGCAGACGCACTAACTGGTAGCTCTAAGCGGAGGTCCTGGTGGGCCTTACATACTGCAAGTCCCTGTGAGTTATGAGACCATTTTGCACTGCTTGGACCTGGCAAAACCTCCGGGTAGGGCTGCTTCCTGAGTGAGCATCAGGCCCCAGCTGCTCACCGGCTGAGTTTTCCTGCTTCAGGCAGTGGATGGACGTCCGCTGGGTCTTGGGCTGCAGCAGCAGCAGGAGCACGGGTTCCAGGATGCGCGCCACATCCCCGAGGGAGAGCGCACGCACCAGCCAGCCCTGGGCCGCCGTGCTGATGGCACCGTCTGTGCAGGCCAGGCTGTCGAGCACGACGAACAGGGATCTGTGGGCCAGAGGACACCACTGAGCCGCGCTCCGCTGCCCCCAGTGCTGGACATGGTGGCAGATGATGGGCACAGGTGGCATAGAAGATGGCCCCCAGGGGGTGTCCCCAGCTGGACAGGGTGGGTGGGAGTGTCCTTAGCTTTGGTTTTGCATTAGAAACACAGAGGGAACCTTTCCAACCCCAACACCCAGACCTCAGACCAAACTGGGTACGTTGGACTTGGGTGGGTTGGGGGCACCAGCACCTGCTGGCGTCCCTGAGAGATGGGTGCCTGGCCTCACTGCCAGCCTCAGAGACACCGTGGGGCATGTGGAGAGTGGAGGTGGGTGAACCTGCCAGGGAGCTCACATCTTAGGCACGCAGCCGTGACGCAGCGCGTGCACGCACACGGTGTAAACGGCACCCCTGAGGTCTGGACCACTGTGTCCCCTCCAAAGTCCTCCTGCCAGGGCAGGTGGGAAAAGCTGCAGGCTCAGCGCTTCCTCCCTCCCTGCCAAATTCTGAAAACCCCTAACACACACGCACACGCTTCCAGCTGAGGACCTGAAAACGGCGTGCTGTGCAGCGTGCAGGGTCACGGCCCATGTGCGGGGCTCGTCTCAGGTTCCCCTCACTCCATCCCCAGCCCAGCGTGAGGCCAGACACCCCCGTGTGAAGGATGAATCACCAGGAAAGGCCGCCTCACCTGTCGAAGGAGCGATTGTGGGACGTAACCCGGCTGCCTTGGATCTCTCGGGTTAGGTGCCAGATCACGGAAAATCGAAAGAGAGCTTCCAGTCGTGTGCCCTGGAAGAGGAAAAAAAGTGAGAGTGAGGAGCTCGGCTTCCTCAGTAACACCTCCCAGCTGCAGGAAGCCACTGGCATAACTGAGGGTGCTCTCCGTGCAGCTGTGGGAGCCCGTGTGAGGCCCGGCCAGAGGGTGAGAAACACGGGCCTCCTCACTTCTCCTGCAGCTTAAGGACCTGCACACTTACAACCCGGCATCCACTGGTATCCAGGGTCACACGCGGGGCTGTGGTCTGAGCGCACACAGGGCGTGGCTTCCCACACTCTCTCCCAGTGCCAGGCCCACGGCCCCTGGAGAGCAAGGATGCACCTCACCTCTCAGTGAACCCTCAAAGGATGAGGAATTCTTGGTGATGACCTGTTTTGCTGACAACGCCGGAGTTCCCCAGTGAGCCTTGCTACAGACAGCACGTTCTGAGGACTCCGCAGGGCAGGGCTCGAGCTGCTGCAAGCATCTGGGCCTGCAGTTCTGGCAGAGCCCTGCCTGGGTGCGTGCACACCTGCCCGGCCCGGGTGGCGCAGGCTCACCTTGTCAGGGTCCAGCAGCGCGTGGCAGATGATGTCCTCGCAGATGCTGGCCGTCGGGGCCAGGCAGTGCAGCCGGTAGAACAGCTCCACACAGGCCACATGGTGTTCCCGGGTCTCCTTGTTCAGCTGACCCCACAGCACACGTGCCACCCTCTGGCAGGAGGAAAAGGCGACAGAGGATGCGTGAGCCGCACTTGCTCCTGCCCTCCTGTGTGAGGCCCCGCCTCCGACACTGTCTCATACCTGTGGGTGCTTTGTGGGGACCCTCAACACCCAGACCACGTGACCGGCACACACGCAAAGCAGAAGCTCATTAGCCAGCGGGCTGCGTTCCTGGTTCAATTCAGAGCTTTCCGGCACTCGCCGAGACTTTCACACTACTTCCAGGAAGGGACTCCACCAGGTGAACCGAGATTTCTCTCGATAAGCACACAACAAGCCTCAGCCCCTGCTGGTACTGGGGTGCCCACAGTTGTGCCTGCCAAGGCACTGGGTAGTAGGCGGTGGTTTCAGCCCGCACCTACTCAGTGGTTGCACACACAGCTCTGCACCCCCAGGGCCTGCAGGTGGTTGAGTCACAGCTGGCCAGTGTGGACTCAGATGCACCCCTTGCTGTGTGTGATGCCTGCCTCGCTTTCACACCCAAATCACACCCTGTGCCAAGCAGCGCATCTCCGTCTCCCCAGCCCTGAGTGGGGCTCCCTACACATGTAGGTCTGCAGGAGCTGTTGGCCTCCCTACGCACCCCAGGAGCCAGAGGCGGGACCTGACCCAGTAACCCAGTGAAGGGCAGGGAGTATCTTAGGGTTCCCTGAAATCCAGACACCAGTTAGTATTTCAGATTACAGTAGTCGAGGCACACCTCAGACCACAATTCTGTGGGACTGATCCACTCATTGAGAGACAGGATCTCACTAAATAATTCAGGATGGTCTTGAGCTCACTATGGAGCCCACGCTTGCTTCGAGCTTGGGACAATCCTCCTGCCTCAGCCTCCAGAATGCTGGGCTTAGAGGTGCGTGCCTCCACACTGTGAGGACCAAGTTTCCAGGTCATGGTGGGCTGCATGCCCCTTACCCAGATTAGAGTAAATACAAAAGTTCCTTTCTGAAAAATTCCATCCTATGTGACAGTTTCTCTGTGCTTCTGAAAAATTCCATTCTATGTGACAGTTTCTCTGTGCTTCGGTTCCTCTTTTAGGGCATCTCCACCCTGCTTCTGTTCCTCTTTTTAAGATGTTAAGATAAGCTTCTTTTTGTGTGATTTAATTAATATAGGAATTAGTTATACCTGACATAGGAATTAATTATAGTTGACATAGATAGCTATATATCTTAGTTAGCAAAAATCAGATGATCTAATGAAAAGAGGAATTGATTCTGCGAATATAGGCACTAGGTACTTTTCCAATACGTACCCTCCCAGTACCCCTAGATGATTTTCCAAATATAAGCATTAGGTAATTTTCCAATATGTACCCTCCCAATACCCTTGATGATTTTGCAAATATAAGCATTAGGTAATTTTCCAATATGTACCCTCCCAGTACCCCTTGATGATTTTGCAAATATAAGCATTAGGTACTTTTCCAATACGTACCCTCCCAGTACCCCTAGATGATTTTGCAAATATAAGCATTAGGTAATTTTCCTATATGTACCCTCCCAATACCCCTTGATGATTTTGCAAATATAAGCATTAGGTAATTTTCCAATATGTACCCTCCCAGTACCCCTTGATGATTTTGCGAATATAAGCATTAGGTAATGTTCCAATGTGTCTTCCCGGTGCCCCTTGATTGTCCAATGATAAGAGAGAACTAAAAATAGCAATTATAAGCAGAAAAATCCTATATAAACCCGCTTCAAAAATGGATCTGGGCTCTCAGTCTGAAGCCGCTGTGATGGTGACACCTGAGAGTCCAGGCTCGGGCTTGCAATAAACTCCTCTTGCAATTGCATTGGACCTGACTCCTTGGTGGTCTTTGGGGACTTTGTGACTTGGGCATAACAACACCTGGCTCTGGGTTTGCCTGGCCTGTTTATCCTGTTTTACCGAACAGTCTTCCCTGAACAGATCAAGTTACTGCTGATGACCACAGCCCCTCTCTCCACTGTTATTTTCCCTCTAAAGTGATCCTGTAACAATCACATCAAGTTAAACTTCTGATATGAAACCTTTGGACCAAGTCAAGGAGCCGCCTTTCTCCAGCCTCTGTGGCAAATGTGCAGGAAGATTCTGGAATGCTCAAAGTCAGGGAGCCCTGATCTGTCCACTTCCCAGCCAGTCAGCTGGATGGAAACTTTCTCTCCCTCTCAGGTTGTGGTGGTGAAGATGGGTGCTCTCTCCTCCCCCGGCTCCCTACCCAGGGCTTTTCCATCTCCTGGGGTGAGGCCACAGCTGTCACTCCCCAACTGCTCAGCAGGGGACTGGGACCCTGCCCCCACCCAGCCCTCACGCCACAGGCCCAGGGTCCCAGGCCAGCTGCTGTGGCTGGAGGGTGCTTCCAGGATGCAGGTAACGCTGGGAGAAGCGCGATGGGAAGGCAGACTGCTGCCCCTTGTGCCCGCTGCTGTGCAACGAGCCCTGGAGGCAGAGGCACAAGGTGACTTGGCTCTAAGCGGCCCTCCGGTTATAGCCGGAGCCGAACATTCCTGTTCCCGTCTGAGGTTCCAGTCTTGGTGGGGGAAGAAGGCCCTGCTCGCCGCTGCCCACCCTCCAGCTGGTGGGGATACCTGATAGAAGTCTGTTTCCTCCCCGATGACCTTCAGTATCCCGGGGGCGATGGGCGGGACTGTCACCATCTGCAGCTTGCCGAAGAACGGGTGGTGCTGCCCGGAGCTTCTGTAGCGCTTCATCTTGTCCTCAATGACCAGTGCGAGGGACTGGGAGTGGTTGATCACCTCCAGCAGGGTGGAGATGGCCACGTTCTGGAGGTAGCAGTCGGTCACACAGCAGCAAATGGTCATCAGGGACTTCAGCCACGGTGGAAAACTGGGATCGCTGGCCCCTGATGGGAAGACAGGGAGGACGGAGCAAGCAAAGACAAAGAGATCCCGGCCTGCAGAAGCGGCAAAGGCCACTTCCCAGCACCTGGACTCAGGGTGCTTATCTGGAGATGGGGTCCCTGCAGAGGTAATCGAGGTGGGATGAGGACCTCGGGGGCCCTAGTCCAAGATGACTGGTGTCCTCAGAGGAAACTGCCACATGAGACGGGCAAATGGGAGATCACCAGGTGATCAGAGGCACAGCCAGAGAGCCAAGGAAGGCAGGGGCTGTGGCTGCCTTAGGGACTGCAGAGACCCACGGACAGATTCCGCCCAGCCTCAGAGTGAGCACCGCCCTGACACCTTGATTTTAAACTTCTGGCCTCTTGGGTCCGGGATTTAGCTCAGTGGTTCCACTGTCTGCCTTGCAAGTGCAAGGTCCTGAGTCTGAGCCCCAGTACCAAAAAAAAAAAAGAAAACTTCCGTCCTCTAAAACTGTGAGGCTCTGTTGTACTGTGTAAGCAGCAGCTGTGGTGACCTGTTAGAGCAGCTAGAGCAGCAACCAGTACATAAATCTTTAACACTGGGTCATGAAGCAGACTACTAACAGCTACTTATTATCTTTGTTTTTTTTGTTTTTTGTTTTTTTTGGTACCAGGGATCGAACTCGGGTCCTTGTTCTTGTGAGGCAGGCAGCAGCACCACTGAGCTACATCCTGGCTTTTTTTGGGGGGGTGTTTCTGAGGTAGGGTCTCACTATGCAGTACGGGCTGGCCTTGAAATCTCTATGTAGATGAGCTAGGCTGGAACTCTCAGACTCGAACTCTCGGCAATCCTCTGCCTTAGCCTCCTGAGTGCTGGGATTACAGGCGGGTGCCACCATACCTGGCACAACTTACTACATTTCCTGTGCTTCACTTCTGCTGGGCTGTGGACACTCAAGGAGCAAAAACAGAGACTGGGCCCTTACCAAATGGCCATGCAATGACTCATAATGGCATTTTGCCATGTGCTCTCCAGCACCAAGAAATCAAACAAAAAACCACACTCGAGTTAGTTATCACTGAGCCCAAAGGCTTGGGAAGAGAGTGTTCCGATTTGGGAGCTTTTGGACATGGGCCTGCATATCTGCACAGACTTTACAGGCTGAGACTCTCATCCAAAGGCTCCAAGATCGCATCAGTGCTCGGAAGTTGGGCTCTCAGAGCATCTGGACAGGGATGCACTGCCGTTGGTCCCTTCCCGCTGTTGGTGACTTTGGGAGTCTGAGTCTGAACATTCCTCACCTCTAGCAGTATCCTAGCTGGGGGCTAGGGCGCCTCTCACCTGGGGGCTGGAAAAGCGTCTCACAGAGCTGCTCGGTCTCCTCCTCCGACAGGTAGACGGGGAAGGTGGCGCAGTCCAGCAGCAGATGGCAGGCAGCGGCGAAGGCCTCCCTGCAGGCCTCTTTGGAGCCCCTCAGGTCAACGACCACGTGGGCAGCATCCCATCCTCCTCCTGTCTTCCTGTCAGGGCTCCTGGGCAGAGCTGCTGGTGGCTCTGAACTTTTTGTCTTAAACGGAGAGCTGCGCACTGTGAACAGGTCTGAAAGCATCTGCTTAAACTGGGGCACAGTGATGGGCTTGGCCTCCCATGAGTCTTTCCTGCCCGAGTCGCCAGCCACCGTGCTCGGCATCCGGCCCTTGTCTCTCCTCCCTGCAGGCTCCTCAGCCTTGCCTTTCTCTGCCGGCGTCGGCAGCGGCTCTGCCAGAATGTTCTTGTTGGTGAAGTTGGTGATGAGCTCCTGGATGCACAGACACGTCCTCTGCATGCTGCCCCCCTTCCTCCAGATGTCATCTCTGTCCGGAGAAACCCGGGGGACCTGCAGGTGCTCGGACAGCTCCGGAGACGAGGCGCTGAGCCCGATCCCGCTGTCCTCGGACTTCAAAGGGGCGAATGGCATCTCCTCCTCAGCAGGAAGCACGGCCTTCACTTCCAAAATGACTTCACTACATTCACCTTTGACTGGACTCTGCAAACAGTAACAGATGGAAAAGTAATTGTGCCACACAGCTCTCAAGACCGGGAGACTCAAGTATCAGCTGAAGGCACACCGGGAATGTATCTCAAACCTGTTTCTCCAAACCCTGAGTCCCTGTGCCCAGAGAGTCCTCTATGTAAGTGAGTGATACAGGGAAGGAGGTGGCCAAGGAGGGCAGGTGGGGCTGGGCCCAAGGACGGGCTGAGGATTCAATAAAGGCATAAAGAAGTAAGAGCGGAAGGCTAAGCCAGAGTCGGAGGCTAGGACAAGATGCGACAAACACAGGCCGGACAGCCCAAATCTGAAGACTAAACGTTGAAAATGCTCCACATCCAAACATTGAAAGCACTGACGTGAGACTGAATGGAAAAGCCCACACCCGACCTCACAGTCAAAACACAGATGCTCAAATATACCATCTAAAGCTGCTCTCAGGACTCTCAGTCCGGTTCTGACCAAATCACAATGATGAGTGTTTGGGGTGAGTAAAGGTGGGTGGCAGCGGGTGGAACCGACTGTTTTCTCCCGACTCTTCTATACTTCATATTACGTGTTTTCTACAGCGTGTAGCTGCTGAGTATCTGGTCAGTATAGCCAGCCACGTGATCGACCTCAAAAATAACTTATCTTAGGCTACGTGTATAAGGGGCATATGAAACATAAATGAACCCTGCGATTAGACTTGCTCCCTGTCCCCAAGATGTATCATGAATTTGCAAATGTTAAGCCTGGAAAATGTCTGAAATCTGAAACAGTTCTGGTGTTAAGCATTTCAGGTAAGGGACACTCAACCTGACTATGCGTACACGTGCATACAAGGCGTGATTGAAAAAAAGTCAATGTGGGCCAGGCATGGTGGTGCATGCCCACCAGCCTAGTACCTGGGAGGACTGTCAGGAGTTCAAGGCCAGCCTGAGTTACAGAGTAAGACCTTGTCTCAAACCAAAAGAAAAACAAAAAACCCAGAAAAAACCAACCAAACCAAACCAAACCAAAAAACCCCCAAACAGTGAATATTTAAGTAGTAAAAACAATTCCTTATAGTAAAATACATATTCCATTAACCCCCTTGAAATGCTCCCCCTTGCTTTGAACACACTCATCCCATCCTCCTTGCTACTTCCTACAGCAGCTCTGGAGCCCTCTTTCCTCAGTGCCTTTAATTGTGCTGTCCTAGCTGCCTTGATGCCCTGAATGGATTCAAAACATTTCCCTTTCATGGTCATTTTGACTTTGGGAAGAGCTGGAAGTCACATGGTGCTGGATCCGGTGAATGAGGTAGACGAGATCGCAGTGTCATGCTTTTAGCAGCCTGCCTTTCTGCTGGATGGAGCTGGGCAGTGCTCACTGCATTTGCGATCATCTCAAAAAGATACAAAGGACTCCCACAGCTGCTTCAGAAAATGGCAAGAACAACACTGGATAAGGGTGTCCACAGTGGTGGGGAGGATTGAGGGGGATTAATAGCAGTGTGTCTTTTACCGTAGTAATTTTAAAAATTTTTAAATATTCATTGTATACCCCTCCCACGGTGGCTTTTCCAAAGTGATGCCACTTCAACCATTAATGGATCAAGCTTTTCTCTTTTCTCATACTGTTTCTCAAACAACACTGTATTAAATCTGAAACTCTTCAGCATTTATTCTACTGTGCTCTCTAGGAAGAATAAGAAGGCAGTCTGTGATTTTTCAAGCATACTGCTATTCATGTTTGTAAGCTAGAAATACTTAGGCTTTATATTTCAAATCATTCTCAGAGTTTTTTCCACACAGCTAGAACTGAGAGAGAAAGAGAGAGAGAGAGAGAGAGAGAGAGAACGAACTTATAAGTCGAGGGTACAATCTGTAGCCTGAAAACGGGTAGCTCATTTATCTCCAACCATGAACCAACCCACACAGCTCTTTCCCAGAGGCCTCAGGGTTAGCGTTTGCTGCACTAAACTGATTTCAAGGGCAAAATTTTCAAATCCCCCAATAGAAAAGAAAATGGAAACAATGCAAAGACCATGGGCATCAAACTGTCCAGGGGTCTATAACGTTAGTCTTTTCAGAAGGCAGGCGGCACCTCTCACAGGCTGGTAAGAGCGTGCGTGCCTCTCCACCGCATTGCTTTACCCAGAACTATCCCGTAACTAGCACACAGTGCAGGGGGTGACGATGAAGACTGGAAACTGTTTTAACTGTGAACAACAGGAAAGGATCTAAATACATCCACAGGGAAAAATGAACTACAATCCATATCATGGACTATTATCCAGAAAGTAAAAAAGAATGGCACCTTTATTTATATAGCTATGCAAGGATGTCCCCCAAATATTATTTGAATAAATTAAAACCAGAGCAACTCACAAATAGTGTACATTACAGGTTGAAATGTGCTCCCCAAACACGGTGGAGTCCTAACTTCCTATATGTAGGGTCTTTGTAGAAGATTAAAATGAGGCCAGGAGGACAGGCCCAAATTCAACCAGACTTTATCTTCATAAAAAAGGGACATTATGCTGAATGCGGTGGTGTATGGCTGTAACCCCAGTACTCAGGAGGCTGAGACAGGAAGATCGCTGCAAGTCTGAGGCCAGCCTGGGTTACAGAGTGAGTTCAAGACCAGCCTGAACTACACAGATTCCATCTTAAAAAAACAAAACCAAAGAATCTCTGAAAACAATAAAAAGAGGAAATCTGGACCCAGAGACAGATGTGCATCTAGGGCAATCACATATGACCACAAAGGCAGAGGCTGGGGCTACGTACCACGAGGCTAACCACAGTGGGCTAGGGAGGAACCATGCCCAGGGACACCCTGACCTGGACTCTGACTCCAGAACAGTGAGAAAAGACATTTCCACGTGTCAGCCGCCCACTCTCTGCTGTCAGGGGACCCTCGCAAGTCAAGCCAGGGTGTGTCTTCGCCCACATGCAGTCTCTGTCTCTCTCTCTCTCACACACACACACACACACACACACACACAGCTGGAAGCCCTGATGGCAGCTGCGTGCAGCTGGCCAAGACCGTGGGCACAGGGCCGTGTCCTGGTCACTGAGGTGGTGGATGGCACGTGGGGCTCCCCGAAACCTGGTGTCCGCGTGTGTCACAGGTGAGTGCGCCGCCTCCCCAACACCCCAGCATCAGCATCCCTGCGCCTAGCCCATGGGCTCCACCCGGCCGGCACACACCAAGCTCCCGCTGCCAGGCTCCGCGTCCAGGTAGGAGGGCGGCATCTGCACCTTGCTGAGCACCTTGAAACACGTCTTCAGGGCGTGCGTGAGCTCAGACAAGTCCAAGGTCTCCACCTCCTCGGCCAGAGGCCGCAGCAGGCAGCCGAGCACCTGCGGTAGATACTGGCTCTGCACCTCTGAGTAGAGCTCCTGCGAAGGAAGACAAGTGTGGGCACTTGTGGGGCAGCCTCCTGGGCTTCAGCCTGTGCCTGAGACAATGCCGGTGTCGGAGCACGGGTTTCACACCCATCACCAAGTCAAAAAATACAGGGCTCCCCTCCTTAATTTTTGACATAGGGTCCGCTAAGTTGCCCAAGCTAGTCACGAATTTATAATCCTCCTGCCTCAGCCTCAGCCTTCCAAATAGCTGGGATTATAGGAGTGTACCACAGCACCTGGCTCTAATGCATACATATTTTTTGGTACCAGGGATCAAACTCAGGACCTTGCACTTTCGAGGCAGACAGTGGCACCACTGAGCTAAATTCCCAGCCCCCCTAATTTTTTGTTTGTTTTTTTTGAGATAGGGTCTTACTATGTAGTTGAGACTGACCTGGAACTCACTATGTAGACCAGGCTGGTCTCGAACTCACAGCGATCCTCCTGTGTCAGCCTCCCCAGTGCTGGGATTACAGGCATGAGCCACCACACCCGGCTCCTAATATTTTCTTTTGATCTAGAAAAATCAAGGCTGTCTTTCTCTTTCTTCAAGTAACTTTACCCTAAGAGAAAACAGTAAAACTGCCATATTCCTATAATTTAAAAAATAATTTTCAGCCAAGGGTGGTGGTGCAAGCCTATAATCCTAGCACTCAAAGCAGGAGGATCATTGCAAGTTTGAAGTCAGCCTGGGATACACAGTGAATTCAAGGCCAGCCTGAACTACATAGTGAGCCTCTTCTCAGAAAACAAAAATTAATTTCTCTCAGGAAAATAATCCAACCACACAATTTTAACTAGGAAATATATTTACTCTCACCCTTACAAAGCTAAAGTATCAGTTCGTCATCTAGCTGATATAATGTAAGCTGGGCCCACTTACAATGGCCTCAGAAGTTACACCCCTTTTATTTATTATTTTTTACAGTGCTGGGAATTGAACTGTGGGCCTTGTACATGCTAGGCAAGTGCTCTAGCACACAGCTATATTTCTAGCCCTTTTTCATTTGTAATGTCGTAACTAAGGGCTTCTAAGTTATGAGAGTGGTAGAAAGCTTGCCTGGCATGCATGAGGCCCTGGTTCCATCCCAGCACCACTACCAACAAACAAAAAAGAAAAGAGAATGTACTAAGCTACATATACCTGTAGCAAAATAGGCACCGAAACAGTGTCTTTTTATCTCAGTAAGTCCACTTTTTAGTAAATTTAGGTTTATAAAATAAGCCAGCACACTAATAAGTGCACAACAACAGTTTGCTGTCCAGCAAACTGGGGGTGGGGGTGGAGAGAGGGTCTTGCTATGTATCCCAGGCTGGCCTCGAGCTTGAGGTGATCCTCCTGCCTCAGCCTCCTGGGAGCTGGGATTAGGAGCACACCATCATGCCTGGCCTAGAACGCAACAGCAGCAAGCCCTGGGCCCTCTCTTCGCCACAGCGCCTGCGTACCAAGGGGATGACGTCCAGGAGGAACACGAGCAGCGTGCAGAGCTCCGAGACAGTGGGAGGGGGGCTGACGAGTTTCCCGGTGGTGCTGCCCTGCTTCAGCGGCCTGCATTAATCACAAGGAAGGAAAGCCAGTTAGTCCCGTTTCCCGTGGAACTCCAGCACCTGATGACTCCCACCAAAGTGACCCTATTCCAGAGAGCGCCGTCGGCTCTTGTCCCAGGAGCTAAGCGCTGGTGACCAGCTAACACACAGGAGGACCCACAGGTGACCCGACTCTGTCTCTGCAACGGCTCCCTCTGACTTTAAGCTCACTGGTTCATGTGGGGCGGCCCCACATCCATGCGGTTCCACACCCACAGCGCAGCCCCGAGGCAAAGCCACTGCGTTCTCAGGGCACAGGCCAGGCTGAGGACCCCCGGGCCTGGCAGCTGTTCACTTCCTCCCCTGGAGTCGCTGGGGGTCTTCTGCTTCTGCTGCGAAAAGCACCTCTCCTGTCAGAGAAGCTGACAGATAAGTCTGGAAACTGAACGCCTCCTCTGAAATCAGCGGGAGTTGCGTAACAGCCACGTTGAAGAACACAACTCACCCTGTGTATTGGTGGGCTGTGCCTCTGCGGATCCAACCAACCACAGAGCAAAAAGACATGTACCTCACTAGACACGCGCGGGCTGTTTTCCTGCCATTATTCCCTAAGCGGTAAGCAGATCAGCTACTCCCAGAGCACCGACGCTGCTCTAAATCACTAGGGGTGGTTTCAAGGACGTCGGCGGGCTGCTGGGCACACGCAGGCACTACACGCCGCACCAGGTGGGCACGTGAGGCCCGGAGCCGACGTGAGACGAGAGGGTCTCAGATCGGGGTCCCCGCGGCAGCCAGTGGTTCTGTGGAGTCTGCCTGTGTCCTTCCTTGTGAGCCAGCCCTGGCCCCCTTGGAGCTCATCTTGGGACGCGCTCCCGAGACCCCAGGCACATGTGGGTGGGACAGACATGCGTGGATCACGGGACACCGTGGACCCGACTCTCGGGAAGAGCTGGGTGTGGGCGGGCAGGGGCGGTGAAGGAACACAGATGTGTGGTGAGCCGGAATGAGAGCGCAGCATACTGCAGACATGACCGATAGCACAGAATCAAAGGGACCTTTAGGAAAGCATCTCCAAAGGGCTGTCACCCCATGACAGCGACAGCACTGGGCAGACATCCTGCACTGTGGAATCACAGGCACTCATCAGCTGGCGACAGAAGGAGATGGTGTTGCCTCTGCTTCCCGTGCTGTGACAAGTGCACAGGGACGTCGTCATGGGGAGGACGGGGTGAGGGGAGCAAGAGGTGTTGGCTTTGTCTGGGTAGCAACATCTAATTCTTAAAATAAAAACAACAACAACCAAAGAGACAAAAACTGGGCACCGGGACTGCAGCTCATGGGAGAGCATGTGGCGAGCACTGTAAAGCACTGGCTCTGAGCCCTGGTGCTGCCCATCATTTTTTTAAAAATAAAAAGCACACTCTGACCCCAGTATGCCAGGGCCTTGCTGTGATGATCAGTTAACCCTGCACAGGACTAGGCCTGTGTGGCCCCAGTGCGGGGGGCAGAGGAGCCCTGTGGCAGCAGCAGCGGAGTCAGACTCTGAGCTGGGGCCCTGCAGGATCCCAGCCCGGCTGCCACTGCTGAGCTGTGTGATGCCCGGCAAGGTGCTTGCTGGCTCTGGGCTCCAGCTTCCTGCTGCCCTCTGGGTCGGTCCAGAGGGTTAATGCAAGGCTTCCTGGCCCCAGGGCACATGTACTCAACATTTACTCAGAAAGCTTCTGCTACGGCCGCTGGGCATGGGAAGGACAGGGAGAAGCACAGGCACCACAGTGGACGGCAAGGTTCACAGTGTGCTGCTCAGGATGCAGTGCTCACAAGATGCCATCCATCTTCCTGTACGAAGACAGCACGAGGAGCCAGGTGTGGCACACGTCTGTAATCCCAGCACTGAGGAGGCTGAGGCAGGAGGGTTGCCATGAATTCAAACCCAGCCTTTCGGCTACATAGTGAGACTCTGTCTCAAAAAAATAAACCAATCCATAAGATAAACTAAAATAAAATAGAAGAGGGGGTGGGAAAAGCTCTCCAGGAAGCCTGCTGACCCCAAGTGTAACCATCCACAACTTGGAAGTCACACAGCTCATCACCAGCTTCAAAGTAACAGCAAATCTGATTACGTTAATGTTGCATCTGACCCATTCTACATAATTTCAGTAAGAACGTAAGACTGAAGGGTTCAAAAGCAAGCTTTTCAGGCCCAGAGATGTGAACCTAAGCCAAGTTAGGAGCTCGGGCCACCCGAGGAAGCTGCAGACAATGTGACTGGGAAACGTGTGGGGATTTTCTACAGGTGGACTTGAATCAACAAAGCGCTGCTGAGTTATGCAGCAAAGATGATGTGAATTTTCTTCCTGGAAATGTTCTTTGTTCTACAGGGGACCCTCGAATTACAATCGACCTGACATACGAACAACTTGGCTTATGACCGGAATTTTAGCTTTAACTTATGAACAAGGCCTTGAGTTATGGCCTGAATGCTGGCTGCTTGTGTTTCCAGATGGTCTCAGAACAGATTCAACCTCGAAGAGCTCTGGAAGGAGCAGGACAGCATCCTCTCCTGTGTGGGGCTCACTGAAAAGTACCGGGCCAGCGTCTCTCTGAGGACACTGAGACCTGCTGCGTGCAGGAGAGAGACTTCAAAGGCTGTGCAGAGGAGCCGCCTGAGCCTTCACTGACCAAGCTGAGTTACAAGCCGACCTCACGGATGAAGTGAGTTTGTAGGTCAAGGGTCCGCTGTATTAGGATCATCAGTGAATTCCTCCCAGTCCAGAGCCTGGCAGAGAACACGCAGCCTCCTACTGGCCGGGCTCCACACCAGCCATGCATGCATCCTTACCCCCATGGCTGCGGCCCTCACGCTGCGGCCCTCACTGTGCTCACCTGAAGCACTCCTCGAAGCGCCTTGTCACATAATCCCAGAGAAAGTCGGCACTGAGGGAGGAGATCAGCAAGTTCACCGTCTTAACGATCTCAGAGGCGTTTTTGTTTTCCTTGATTGCACTGAAACAGAGGCACACCGTGTCTGGGAGATTGTAATGCATTTTTACTGTTTATGACTTATTTCCAGAGAGGCTGATACACTCTGAGAAAGAAAAAAATATTACTGTCCTGCGGGGTGCAGTGGCACACACCTGTGATCTCAACTACACAGAAAGCTGAGGCAGGAGGACGTCAAATTTGAGACAACCTGTCTCAAAATAAAAATGAAAGGCTGGATATAGCTCAGACCCTGTGTTTCATCCTTAGTATTGCTGAAACACACACACACACACACACACACACACACACACATGCACACAATTTTAGTATAGAAAACCAGTTTTAGTAGCTAGATATGGTGGTGCATGCCTGTAATCCCAGCATTCAGGAGGCTGAGGCAGAAGACTTGCCACTGAGTTTGAGGCCAGCCTGGGCTACACAGAGTTCAAGGCCAGTGTGAACTACATAGGAAAACCCTGTCTCAAAAAGAAGAAAAGCAATTTTAGTCTACCTAAAGATAATTAGGACACTGTACTCATGGAAAATGGTGCAACCATTAGCAAAGACATTCAGCTAAAATTTGCTTGCTTGCTTGGTTATAGTACTGGGGCTCAAACCCAGGGCCTTTCACACCCTACGTAAGGGCTCTACCACTAAGCTACATCCCCAGCCCTGGTTAAAATTGTAAATGTACCTTCCATGGCTCTGGAAACAACCCACAGGACTCTCAGCAGTCCTCACAAAGGTACAGAGGTTACGCAGAAAGGAACCCCTGCAAGGCACTGAGAATCCTAAAGAGTGGACACTGCCTCCAACTCACTCAGCTTTTACTTAATTCGTGATCCATCCTTACCAAGGCCTCTAAGGCTGCCATGATGGTCCACAGAACAGTACAGAGCTGTTCACAGTTTATGTTTTTATAGCAGCAACTAAACAGCAAGTGTAGTTCCATCTTGGAAATAAAGATAGGCATTTACATATTCACATATGCAGTAAAAGTCTAGAAAGAAGTGAAAGTCTTATTTTTCTCTGAAGGATGCGAGGATTATGGGTGATGTACTTATTCTTATTGTCTTCAAATACCAGTGAATTCTACAATGATCATGAATCACTTTCACACTGAGAAAACAATAATCTTTCACTTTGGGAGGAAAAAGCAAACATTAAGAACTCTCAAGACACTTGACAGAGAATAAACCAGAAAAACCGGAGAATTGGTTGAAATTTTCACTACACCCAGTGCTGATTCCGGCAGAAGGAAACCATAGTAAGAGTGAAGCATGAAGGTGTTGTTTTATCTTGAAAAGAACAAAACCCAGGGGTCAGAGGTAACTCTGACCACCACACCCGGAGCCTGTGTCCCCCGCCGTCCGTCTTCCCTCACTTCCTGAACTTCCCCTCTCCCTGTGTGTGACCTGTCACTCAGGGACACCAGGTCCTGCTACCTTTGTTGCACATTATCTACACATCCGGGCTAGGGAAGAGGCCAGAGCAAAGCTTTCCTCTTCCCGAGCTCGGCAAGGGCAGGCGGTTGTGCTGACTGACCAAGAGCGCAGAGCATTTCAGTGGGAGCCCAGCCTGCCCCAGCACTTCCCAGCTCACAGAAAAGAGAAGAGCAGCTCTGGCCTGGGAGGGCGGACTCCTTACCTGGTCAGCAGATTCCCACTCTGAGTGTAGCTGAGCTGGAGGTCAGAGCCGAGGGCATCTCTGCAGTAAGAATAAAAGGCCCTGATGACCTCGAGAAACAGATTCTCAACCACTTGGGGACCTGCAAACAAAAAGAAAGAGGTCAGAGAAAGACTAACAATCTGTTAGTAAATCAGTGCGCAACACACAGAAAACAGAGAGAGCGTAACCCACAGACACTGAGGCACAGAATGTGGCACAAGGGGAAATGACATTCACGACAACAGTCCCTGTGGGGTTGCTGTGCCGGGTGCTGCCGACAGCATCTCCCAGCTGTGACCCACACTGAGTGCTCACCATGGCCACAGGCATGGGTACTGCTGCCGTCCCTGGTGACACCCAAGGGGACCGAGGCCCAGAGAGGTAAAGTTGTCCACACCAGCTCCTGCTGAAGGAGCGGCCAGTGAGCTCCGTTCTGCAGGGCCACGCACACAGGAGCACCTAGGAGCTCAGAAGCACTTTGCTAACAAGAATTCTCAAGCTACTATGCAAAACTTTATTATTTTTCTGAGTCCTGGGAATCGAATCTAGGGCTGTAGCACTGAGCTATGTTGCCAGTACTTTTTTATTTTTCGAGATAGGGTCTTGCTAAGTCACCAAATTGCTTAGTCTGGGCTTGAATTTGTGATCCTCCTGCCTCAGCCTCCCAGAGTGCTCGGATTATAGACGTACACCACCGTGTCTGGTCTGTATAAAACTCTTAAATGGTCTCAGAAATGAGAACTGAGTCCATGATTCCAAGATCCAAAACTCCAAAGATTAAACAATCGTCAAAACAATGGACTGTTTGTATCTCATGGTGTTTTAATTCCCTGGGAACAGGAAATCCATATCGGGCTCTGCTATAGGTGGCAGCATTTCTCACAGTTACCTATTTCGGGCTTGTCGAGCAGACTGACCAAGATGCGGAAAGGCTTCAGGTACGCGTGGTGCCGCTCCTCAGCATCTGTGTGCAGGAACTTCTGGTGTAGTATCTCAGCCAGACTCTGTTTAAGAAGCCACACGTTAGGTGATCGAGCAGGGCTGGTAAGCACTCGGGCAGAGGAAGAACAGCCCCCGACCCACGAGCACAGCTCCATTCTCAAGCTGTGCAGCAAGGGGCAGGCCCACTGTCTATTCTCACACGAAACCTGCTGCCGTTGGGACGAGGAAGCCCTGGCTGGGCGGAACTTTCCAGAAATGTCCTTTACCTCAACTAAAAGATCCTTGGAGTATTTTTCAAAAAAATATGAGGATTGGTCTGGATAAGAATTTGAGAGGTCAGTTTCTGGCACAATGGTATTTCCTTTAATATCGGAACCTGTAAAAGAACAGACACTATGAGCTGTCAAGACATCTGTGCTTTGCACTGTATTGTGCCAAAGTCTCATGCTTGGATATGCTTTGAAAACCTAATTCCTCCAATAGAAACCCAGATCAGATCAAGCTGTATCTTTTTGTTATTTTTCCGCTCTGGGAATTGAACCCAGGCCTGTGCATACAGCTGGCAAAAGCTCTACCACTGTGCTACACTCCCAGCCCTGCGTCACGTTCCGACGACTGTGGCTAAGGTTTGGACAGCCAGAACCCCGATTCAGTAGGCGTCAGCTAAATGTGCTTGAAGAACGCCCCTCGCCTCTCACACGTATGGTTACAGGACGATGGTGGGCCTCGGCCTGTGCAGTCCAGAGTCCCGAGTCTGTGATGTCAGGGAGGGCTCACACATACACTGCCCTGCCCTGGGGCCCGGGCGGAGCTGCCGGCTCCCAGGGCCCAGCAAAGACAACCGGGTCCCTCTGCACACAGAAGGTCAAGTCCCACCTACCGGGGCAGAGCCACGAATTTACCAACTTCACCCTCTCACTAAAAATCCTGAAAGAGCCTATAATAGTCTCCTTAAGACCGGTAAGTGACGCTTCCAAGTTTTATTAACCACGGAGGAGAAAGGGAAAAAGAAACTGCAGGGGCACCCTGCCTTGCGGTGAGAGCTGTTCTTAGGGATGTGCACGAGGGACATCAGGGACCTCAAGTGAGGTCTCGAGCTCTCTTAAGGCACCCAAATACCCCCACTCTAAAAACCGGCTTCTAACACGGCAAGGGGTAGCATCTAACATGAGGGGTGACATTTCAAGCTCCTAAGATTGAATTCAATCGGCATTTGAAAAACCCTACGTATTCCCCCTCGCCTCACAGCTGCACAGCCGAGGCGGCGTGGGAGGGAGACTTAACTGACCACGCGGTGCTCAGTCAGTGTGGCGTCTCCACACTCAGACTGAGACCCAGCGCTACCAGGCCTTGCATTTGCTCTGACTGTATGGCTTACTGCTCGCACCTAGCAACCAGGCATAGAGCCTTCTGTTCAGGGACATGTCCCTTCGCAGCAGGGTCTGGGTGGCGGCCGAGAGGAGGTGGACAATGTCGGCTCTGAGCAGGGGAATGGTTCTTTCGTTGGGATCCTATTGGAAGGACAGAGAAAACTTCACATGAGGAAAGAAATGATGAAGGAGACTGCTGACTTTGACACGCATCTCTTCTTTAACCAATTATCCCAACAGACAGTTCCCAGGGATGGGAATGTAGCTCAGTGTTCCCTTGCCTGCCTTGCAAGCACAAGGTTCTGAGTTCAATTGCTGGTACAAAAAAGGGAAAAAAGACAGTTCCCAAAAGAGGCTGATTTGGCCAGTGTGCTGTAATGCCAGCACCCGGAGAAGCTGAGGCAGGAGGACTGCAAGCGAGCGCCTAGTCAGGGCAACTTAGTGAGACCTTGCCTCAAAGTAAAAAAGTAAAAGGGCTGGAGACGTAGCTCAGTGTGACCAAAACACTCACATACATGAAAGAGGCTGGTGTGTTCCACATTCCCCACAGAAAGAAGCTATTTGGTATTTGCTATGGAATGAGGGCCTGTGACTGACAGAAGCAAACAGTGACACAAAGTGGCTTCATTCTCCTCTCACAAAGACCCTGCTCGCCTTGGGAAGAAGTCAGAATGGAGGACTTACCAGACAGGTGTAAAACGGGAAGAAAAACAGAACAATTTCCAGATTATTTCTTTGCACGAGCACATTGGAGTCCATCAGTGATGCACACAGTGCTTTCACCTGTAAATGATAAATGACACTAAAGGCCATTCCAGGGACATGTGACAGCCTTCACAGTCACAGCAACAAAGGCCCTTCTCCTGGGCCTTGGCGCCAGTGTGGTATGTCACACAGAGGACACGCTGCGAGTCAGTATGGTGGGGCTGCGGGCTGCAGGCCAGGGCAGCCCCACCTGAGAGCTGGGGGCAAGGGATAGGTGGCCTGGTCCTGAGATCTCCAAGCCCTGAGGAGCCTAGCAGGAACCTCGGTCGAAGTAAAGCTGAAGATGCATGGCCCAAAGGTTCCACTCAACTCCAGGGCTTCTCCGCACACTGACAGGGATCATCCAGCGCCCTCATGGCCAAGCTCCCCACAGAGCTCAGGAAAAGCTGGATCAGAGCATGGAGGCTCGGTGGGACAGGTCGCTGTGCTGCGCAGACAGGGAGCAGCCACATGGTGAGCAGGGCAGGAGGGGCTGTTGTGCAGAGGAGAGGCAGCCTGGTGGAGAGCGGGGCCGCACCGCAGGCACGTGAGCAAGGCTGTGCTTCAGTGAAGCAGGTGTCTTACGGCCTGGGTGAGTACAGAGTGGGGTGTGAGAAACCTGTCAGAAAAGAGCCAGGAGCAAAATGGGAGGAGCTGAAGCAGGATGGTGAAAACAGAGAGGAAAGAGGGGGAAGGAGGCCTGTCTATGGGTCCCCTCTGTGCCATCAGCAGTGAGGCACTTTTCTTCCACTTGCCATTTAATCCCGGAACGACCCCTTGAGGCAGAGCTGCCATAAGAGAAAGGCCGGGCAGGCAGCTCAAGCTGCACCAAGCCACAGCCCTCCTGGGCAGTGAATTCAGTGGTGGTTTCAGGTTGAAAGTGTCGATCTTCCACCAGGTGACGACAGAGAGCCAGCCCTGAAAAGCTCGCGCAGCAGGCACCCGGGGAAAGATCCCAGAGGGGGCGGGCTGGCCAGAAAGATGGTTTCCCTCCTTCGGAGGGCCTGCAACCAGGTAACCTGAGGATGAGGATGAGAGCGGCCAGAGGGGGCGAGGGCTGAAGGAGCAGAGCCAGGAGCGAGGAGAGGCAGGGACTGTGGAGCGCTTGGCCTCGAGGCTCCTCGGAGTGAACACCCCTCCATCAGACACATACATCTTGATCACAGTGAATGCAGCGCCCCCACCGCCCTGGACTGTAAGGTGTCACCTCCTGGCAGTTTATCCTAGTGCATGGGAGGACTGGGACGCCTCCCCCAGCCCCGTCCTGTGACCACCTGCTCCCCAACACTTCGCCTGTCAGCCCCAAGGGAGCAGAGCACGCACCGTGAGCTGGTGGTCGGTGCCCAGCATGAACTTTTGCTCCTGGCCGGGTGAGTCCCGGCTGATGTGGCTCACCACGAAGAGTGAGGCGGGCAGCCGGATGGCCGGGCTGGCCAGCACGCCACCCCACAGCGCTGTGTAGAACACCTCCCTGCCCACCACGAGCGACAGCCTCAGCAGCAGGGCGTCCGTCCTGTGGGGACAAGGGACAGGATCTCAGGGTTTGTCCCGCCCTCCTTGTGCCATCGTCCCTGGCCCTTCTGGGTTTCCACCCTCCAGCTGTCGGGCTGAACGCCAACCTGCTCAAACAGGTCACGGAGAGTGGCAGCTTCCTGGCCCTCAGGAACCACCTGACCAGTCCTGTGGCTGTGGCACTGAGAGACCATCTGCTCCTCAGCCCAGCTGTGGACACCAAGACACTCACAGAAAGGTGGGTGTCACTGTCAACAAGAGCACGAGCAGATCAACTCCTTTTGTTTAAATGTTTATTTTTGAGACAGGCTAGTCTCAAACTCACTCTTCCTTCCTCAGCCTCCCGAGTTCTGGGATTACTGGTGCGGGTGGCCACACCCAGACGGACAGGTCTCCTCATGACAAGGACTTCCTTGTGCAGCAGGCAAAAAGCAGGCTGCTGTGACTGCAGACTCGAGCCGCTGTGATGAAGCCCCACTGAGCACAGCGATACTGCGCCAGGTGACGCGTACTTCAGAACCTCGGCACAAACCTGGCCTAGCCTCCCGAGGGCCTGCAAGTCCACTCGGTGAAGGGCTGTGTTCTCTCCGGCTGCCACAGCGCCCCCTCTGCCACGCGGAGGCTGGTGCCAAGGCCTGACAGTGACTTCTGCCCATCTCCACCTGGCCTCGGGGACATCAAGTCAACCTCTTCACGGGAGGTGCTGTCCATGGGCCAGGCTTGGTCCCAGGGATGCCGACTGACCAGGGCAGCCCCGCCTGCTGGGCACTGAGCCTGCAGCTCACTAAGCAACTACCGCCAGCGCCGGAAGGAGCCTGTGGGATGGGTGGCAGACTGGCCAGCAACCTGGCAGAGGCAGATTCCTAGCCAGGGTCTCACGGGCATGGTCTGCCGCACTGCCGCAAACGTCCCATTTCCTATGAGTCGCCTATGTGCAGAGAAGGCAGAGTGGCAGGTGTGGCAGTGTCACCAGGCAGTGACCTGGGCTTCTGGATGCAGTGCCCCATGGCTGAATCCTGGCGGTGGGACCTGGGACAAGTTTATTCTCATGCATGTTCATGAGAATGGCGTGAGTTTCCATGTGAAACTTGCATAGGAGCAGGGCTGGGGCTCTGGCCACACCGCGGGATCACCACTTGCTCTGCTTTCACCAGTGGACGGTGTCCACGCCTGGTGAGTGGGACACACATCGGCACTGGGAAAAGCTGTCAGGCAACTGCCGCTCCAGCACTTTTGGGATAACCCTCAACCTTCAGCTCACTTTCCAATTCAGAGTATATATGGTTTTCATGCAGAAATATCGACTGCCTTTATTAAAAATGGATTAAAAATGTCAAAAGAGGTGTAAATGACCAGCCAGAGATAAAGGGAGAGGACTCAGAATGGCTCCCGGGCTGAAGTCATCGATGAGTCTTCCATTAAAGGCTGGGCAGACAAATAGAACCTGGCTGTGCCCAGCTCTGAAGAAAACACAGTGAAAAGCGTTCACACTGGGCAGGGGCCACTGAGCAGCTGCAGTGGGCACGGCAGACAGGACAGCCCAGAGCTGGCAGGTTCTCTGGCCCTGGTCAGCGCGTTCCGACTTGGAGGAGCGGCGTAATCTGCTCGAGGTGTCAGTCCATGGTTGGCTGCTCTGAGGCTGAGGCAGAGCCAGGACCAGCATGGCGAGGGGCGTGATGGAGCAGAGCTGCTCAGCTCTTGGTGGCCACAAAGCAGAGCAGGGGACTGTGCCAGAGAGGGAGGGGGCAGAGCCCATACCTGCGTGACCACCCAGCCACACTCAGAAGTCTGCTCCACCAGGCCCGGGGGACGGAACTCCATCCACTCGGATCAGGATGTTCACAGGGCCCTGCTCTCTCCAGGTACCTCCGATAGCAGCAGCGCTGAGACAAAACCCCTAGGAATTACCACCCCCTCCACCCACCTCCCATCATCATCACAGCCCCTTTTCTTAGTACACTGCATCCCCAAAGAATGCTTCCCATGAAGCACGTGTCCCCACCCCACAACATTCACAGTACATCACGGAGTTTATTCTGTGGGTCTCACTTGCTCCTCACACGTTCATGGATACTAAGAATTGAAGTGACATCATGGTGTAGGAAACAGCAACTACCACAAGCCTTATGATGGGAGATTGAAGTAACTAGGATTCAAGGTGGACCCCTCAGGGCCGGGGATTTAGCTCAGTGGTGCTGCCATCTGCTTCACAAGCGCAAGGCCCTGATCCCCAGTACCAAAAAACAAAACAAAAACAAAAACATACTTTCAAAACAGATCCTCCCCTTTGCAGTACTGGGGTTGAATCCAGGGCCTCACTGGTACATGAGGAGGTAAGCACTCCACTACTGAGCTATGTTCCTGGCCTATTCTACTTCATTTTGAGACAGGGCTTTGCTATGCAGCCCAGGCTGGCCTTGAACTTGTGATCCTCCTGCCTCAGCTTCCTAAGTAGCTGGATTTCAGGTCTGAGATGCCAAACCCAGCTCTAGATGACTTTCTACTAAGCACGAATTACTCAGATCATCTGTCTGAATATCCAGACAGTGTACAGCACAGAATCCACAGCTCTAAACTGGTAATTCAAAACCTACCAAGAAAGGCAACTCCAGCTACAGACCCCACGCTCCCAGCCTTCCTCCTGTATGCCCTGCTCACTCAGTGATCCTGACCTCAACTTACTTGAGCTCTGGAGTGGCCTGGGCTGGTGCTGCAAACCCCAAGTGTCCCATGGCTCTGCTGTGCAGCTCCTGCCCGTGGACAGCCAGGGGAGTCAAACTACTGAGAAGGACGCTCAGGGACATGTGAAACTAAAGAGTGGAGTGGCAACGACAGTGCCACACTCCCCAGGCAGTACCATGATCACACTGTAAGCCCAGCACTCGGAGGCTGAGGCAGAAGGATCTCGATGAGTTGAAGGCCAACTTGGGCTACAGCTACATAGTGAGTCCAAAGTCAGCCTGAATGACATAGCAAGACTCGGTCTTGGCGGCAACAAAAATACTCCATGGGTCAAATCCAGAGCCACAGAAGGAGTGGGACAGCACAAGACCTAGAATTCCTCTTCAGCCAACCAAAAGAAGGTTACATAAATATTGCTGGGTTATTTAAATCAGGGAATCTCAGGGCAGTGAGATGGTGTGGACCTGCAATCCCAGCTTCTCAGGAGAATCACTTGGGCCCAGGAGACAGAGACCAGCCTGGACAACACAGTAAGACCCTGTCTTGAAAAGGGAAGCAATCAGGGTTGGGGATTTAGCTCAATGGTGCCACCGCCTGCCTCCCAAGCACAAGGTTTCAAGTTTGATCCCTGGTACCGAACAAAAAAAAAAGGAAGCAAACAAATGAGTGTGGTCCAGCCTCAGCACTGCTGACCCTCTGAATGGCTGTGTCTTTGTCGCAGGGCGGCCACGTGCATCACAGGACATTTGCGATACCTGGCTTCTGGGCAGTACCAGCAGCACCTCCCCCACGAGGACCAGAAGGGGGGGGTGGGGGGGGCTGGGCAATTTAATGGAAATTTCCAGTAAGCCACTGCCTACTTTTGAATAAACAAATTTTTATAAAAACACAAGATATCTTCCTTCCTCAGTGCCCCCTGTGCTGGGATTTCAGGCACGTGCCACCTTGCTGGGCGCTTTACAAACCACTAAAACAGTCACCTCTCCTCCTCTCCACAGAAGAGCTTAGTCACCCTCCCCTTCTAATCTTGTTTACTTAGCGAGCAAAACATGGCTGCTGCGTGGCTTCTCTGGAGACACTTTTCTGAGGTTTCCGGCCAGCACAGGATAAAGTGCAGGCCTTAAAGGGTCGCAGAGCCAGGCAAGTAACACCGCCCAAGGCCGGCCTTGAGCCCATCTCGCAGTTCATTAAAAAGCACAAGCCAGGATGGCCACCTCCACAAAACCTGAGTCACTCTGGCCTCACTGGCCTGGCCCCACCCGTCTCTGTGATGGCCATGGGGACCCACGCCCCTCTCCTAGCTGTGTGCAAGGCCTGCTGGGTGTTTCACTCTCTTCCTACGTGCTCGGGGAAACACCTGCCAAGCTGAGGCAGCTCGAAGGGAGACAGCGACAGCAGTGTGGGCCTAGCTCGCACCTGCTCAGTGCTTAGGGACCTTTGACCCGCACGGACCAGGAGAGCTGATAACTAACAGCTGCGGGTGTGGCCGAGCCAGGCTTGGTTTGTGTGACAGCTAAGTCCACGCAGTGATTCACACAGTGCCCAGCTCTCTGTTCAACATCAAGAGATAACAATGTCAGGAAAAGAAATCATCAGTGTTAGGCAACTTTAACAACTGTTCAAATGAAACCTCTTTCATCAACTAAGAGAAGAAACAAAAACATTCCAACTGTCACATTTACAGGCCTACAAATTTAACACCCCAGTCCCAAGCCATCCTGTTCCGCCAGGGAGCCATGGCATTGCCTGTGTATCAGGAGGAACTTCCCCAGGCGGGGTCCCCACACTGCAGGGAGGCTCCTGAAGCAGCCCGTTTGCAGTCAGCAATTACTGCAGTGACTCTCAGCGTTGTTAACACTGCAGTCAAGTACCAAGTCCTGTCCTGTCCTGTCCTGTCCCGTGCTGGGGATGGAATCCAGGGGCTGCCATGTGTCAGGCAGGTGCTCTGCCCCTGAGCTAACCTCCCCAGTCATGTTTAATTTATTTTATTTTGGGGACAGGGTCTTGCTAGTTGCCCAGTCTGGTTCTGAACTTGGAACCCTCCTGCCTCAGTCTCCTGAGTAGCTGTAATTACAGGAATGTGCCATGGTGCCTGGTCTAGAACTGAGTGCCTTATAATTTTCCAAGGAAAGGGTGATGTGTATGCCCTATAGTCTAAAAGTCTGAATGGACGCATACTTTCACTCCTAGGCAGCAACAGAACATCACCTGTGAACTGGGTGTGGTAGTGCACAGCTATATTTCTAGAGCTTGGGAGGCTGAGGCAGGAGGATTGCCTGAGTTTGAGGCCAGCCTGGGCTACAGAGTGAGTTCAAACAGCCCTAACTACATAGTGAGACTGCAAAAAACACACAAAATAAAACCAAACTCTTGCATGAGCTTCCGTGCATGTGAGCTTTGCAAGTTCTCAGGGTGCTGCTGAAATGTGTCATGACACTGTAGTGCTAAGCCCTGCCTTTATGAACCTGGGTTTGCTTTTTTCTACTTAAAAGCCAAAAATTTGACACGCATGGTCAGGCTGCCCTGGGCTCACTGACTTCATGACTACGACATCCTTCCATCCACACCCCCACCTGCGAATGGGGGCAACCACTGGGCACAGGGAGTTGGAAGGCGAGGGGCAGGATGTGCACAGAAAGGTCCACAGCTCCTTGGCAGGGGCGGCAGGACACCGTAGGCAACTGTAACAGCTGGGACGCAACAGGGCCCTCACTGTGACCTCCCTCTATGATCAGTACCTTCCTCGGGTACAGCACCCCATATCTCTAGGCTTGGGACTGCCCCTCTGGGTTAGCAATAGGTGAGGTTTGGGAGAACATGTATTTAAAGTCAGGTGTGGTGACGCACGCCTGTACTCCCTCCCAGCACTCGGGGGGCTGAGGCAGGAGGATGTGAACTCAAGGTCAGTGTGGGCAAAACAGAGTTCAAGGCCAGCCTGAACTATATAGCCAGACCCTGCCTCAAAAAATCAAGAGAACACAGCACCAAGTGGAGCAGTAACCTCGGAGGAATGACCAACATCTCCTTCCCTCTGCGTCTCTCCCCTTTCTCAGGAAGAAGTGGAATGACCCGGTCACCTGTCGTAGATCTCGGAGCCCTCCTCCAGGCCGGGCAGCAGGCCCACGAGGAAGGCCTGCAGGCTGGGCAGGAGCAGCCTCTGCAGCGGGAGGAAGTACTTCTCATACAGGCCCAGCAGCACAGGCCGCACCGACATGGCCGCGTTTGCCAGGAGGGGAAACAACCCGCAGCTGTGGGCACAAGAAAAGGGCAGGTGTGGGTGACTGGCCACAGGACGGAGGGCCAGGGTTCGGGTTGTTTTTCTCTCGCAGAATGGACCCAGGGCCTGGCACACAAGAGGCAAGCGCTCTGCCCCTAGCCACCCCCGCCGGCCAGGTTCCGGAGCTGTCGGAATGGCTCTGTGAGCAGCTGCTGCAGTGCCGCCCGCGCTTGTTATGCCTGTTTGTCATTTCTGATCTCGCGCACACATGGAGGGGCAGCCGTACCTGTACAGGAACAAGTCCTTGGCCAGCCATTTGGTCCCCACGATCTTGAAGATGATCTCATAGGTTTCCAGAGCTTTCAAGTGCACGCCGCTGGGCAGGGCGGGATGCAGGCACTGCGCTAGCCTCTTGCTGATGACCAGCCGGCGTGGCAACAGGGAATACTTCAGGTTACTCTGCAGCGCCTGTAAGACAGGGGAGGACATCAGCGGAGACCAGGGAGGCTGCACGGTGGCCATGAGAAGATGGGGACAGAGGGACTGCACGTGGAGGCTCAGAGAGCCACGAGCCAGGCTCTGGGGCTGCGGGACCAGGGAAGGAAGCCTGCTGAAGCGGGGAGAGGGCTGGCACTAGAGTGACTGTCACCATGGGGCCGGGTCCACGGCCCTACCTCGGAGCCCATGCAGAGAATGCAGGGCCTGGTGTGCAGAGTTCGCTGAGTGGGAGGGGAGGCAGGCGAGTGTGGACTGCACTGGAATGTGACAGAAAACGCTTCCCTGGGGTGGGCGAGGTGGCACACGTCTGTGACCCCAGCACTCGGAAGTCCCCCCCCCCCGTTGTCTGCCCAGGAGACAAAGAGGCCCAAATTCCCCCCACTCTTCCAGCTCAGGTTTCCAGCGAGAGGCGCTGGGTGGGGCTCAGCTGCGCTGGGGGCATCGCCTGCATCACCAGCAGGGTGGGAGGGATCGGACTGCACAGGATGCCCCTGGGGCACTGGGGCAAAGGCAACAGGCCTTGAGTCTCAGGAGGGCAGGGCACATGGCCTGTCTGTGCGCAGCATGGCCAGAGTTGCTCCAGGGGCTTCGTGAGCTGCTTCAAGCAGAGGCTATGACAGGGAGGCTCCAGGCGTGTTCGTCTTGTGACAGCGTCTGCCGTCATGGAGGGGCATGGACATCACTAGCTCATCTGCTCCCATGGTGAGCTCCAGGCCCCAGCAGGGTGGTGTGGCAGGGGGCATGGCAGGCAGGAAGCAGAGAGCCAAGGGAAAGCAGGGAAGGGAGAGGGACCCTTCCAAGCCACGCCCCAGTGATCCTTCTTCCCACCAGACCCCGTCTCCTAAGAGCAAGTCATCTTGAGGTTCACAATCCAATCACCTGCTGAACACATGAGGCTGTATGAACCATTTTAGGTCTAAACCACACCACCAGGCTTAGTACTCTAACTTCAAACATGGTCACAACATAGAACAATCTGTGGCTCCCACCTGCCCTTTGCTGTCTCTCACCTGGACGCTCTTCCCTGCACCTGGCTTGCTCAGCTCCCACACGACATAGCTCAGCTCAAGGGCAGAACTGTCCCCTAGCAACTTGAAGACAGGGACCATCTTAACAGCTCTGCTGTCGTTCGGGTTGTGTGTGGGGGGATGTGAAGCGAAGGAAAGCAAATGCTATTTTTCATCAGAGGCCCATGGTCCAAATGAACACACATGTTCAGTAAACGGCATCTTTACAAAATTAGGTATAATAGGAGATCATCAAAGAATATTTTCAAATACTATACATGAAGAGCCGAGTACCTGCCTACGACAACACAGACAGGGCATAGATACGGGCGACGGGCGGGAAAGGGCACATCTTACTGGGACATTTTCAAACACACGGGAGAGGAGGTCCAATGCCCGGGTGACTGTCACCTGCTCCGGGAAGCATCGGTGCCAGTCAGCCCTAAAGACACAGCCCTCAGGAAAGCTTCTGCAATGCAGGGCCTCACAGGACAGGCTTTCTGCACAGGGCAAGCGAGGAGGTGGGGGTGTCTTCCCCTGGAATGGTGCCCAGGACACTCTCACTAAGCTACGGCCCCAGGCCTTTTTACTTTTTATTCTGAGGTAGGATCTTGTGAAGTTGCCCAGGTTGGCCTCAGGCTCGCAGTCTCACAGTCCTCCTGCCTCAGCCTCCCGAGCAGCCGAGACTACAGGTATGTGCCACCATGCCCGTATTGGAACAGCTGTTTTTGGATAAGAAGGTCTTCTCTTTGTCAATCTCTACTGATTCGCAATTCTCTACTCTGAGGATGTCTGCCATCTGCAGTACCATGGCTGTCAAGTTCTTCCTGCGGTGGGTTTTCAGGATTCGAGACATCTGTAGCCCTCGGTGTGCACAGGCTGGATCCTTCTGTCCTCTGCCCTCAGCACCGCGCTGTGACTAGGGAGATGAGCGAACTGAAGTCACCTCCAGCACAGGCTTTCCAAGCCAGCCCCAAGTTTTGCAGGCCCTTTTCCCTGTCTTGATTCATGAACCAAGGGTTTCCAGGCAGCCCTGCCACCCTGGGTCCCCAAGAAACTGGAGCCGGAAACACACCAGGTCATAAGTGGGTCACACAGAGGTTATCTGGCCTCTCCCAGGATGGGCGATGGGGCACACAGACGCAGGCAGAGGGGCCGGAGGGCTGCCGAGACCTGGCACATCCTCATAACATGTGAATCAGACACGGTGGGAGTCAGCAGTAACGTGAAACAGAACAACCGTGACAGTGCCTGGAGGTGACGGTTCTGTGAATGCGCGTGCCCTTCTCGTGACACCGCGCAATGACACCGCAGCAGCGCAGACACGGAACAAGGAGTGGGGCGATTCCCAGAGGGACAGGGCTGCAGCCGCCACGGGGGGCACACCTGGGACCGTGGCACTCTGGGAGATGGGCAGGGGGGCTGCAAGTGCAAGTCCAGGCTGGGCAACTTAGAGACTTGGGGAGACTGAGGCCGTCTCAAAATTTAAAAAGATGTAAAAGGGGCTGGGGAGGCAGCTCAGTATCAAAGACCTGGGTTCGATCACAAGTATCACAAACATGAACAATCGGCCAGGGATTGTAGCTCAGCAGTGCCACACCTGCGGGGCAAGTGCAAATCCTGAGTTTGATCCCCGACACCACAAAAACCAAACCAAAACCAAACAAATAAACAAACACCCCCTCAAAGCTACACGGGGCCCCCCACTGCCGTGGCTTTCTCTGGTTGGGCCTGGACTCAGGAGCCCCCATCTGTGAGCTATGGCCTCCATGCCTTTACACAACATCAAAGGCCCACAGCTATGCGGCCAGCCCCCAACCCCAGTCTGGGGACACCGCTCAGCGGTTCCTGGGTGTGGTTCCCACTGGCTGTCACTGAGGTGAGACTAAGCCCAGTGCCTTCTGGGACAGGAAGGGTTCCTGGGGAGCAATCCGGCCTGCCAGGGTCTCGGCTGAGACCTGGGCCCTGCTGAGGGGACACCAAACATGCAGCCACCAGGGAGGATGGGGTGGCGGCCCCTCCAGTGGCCAAGCATTTTGGTACTAGGGATCGAACTCGCAACTCTGCACTTGCAAGACAGGTGGTTGAACCACCGAGCTAAATCCCCGGCCCTTCAGAAGCCAAGCATTTTATGTGTTGTTCAGAGGTTGTGGGACCTGGCAATCCTGCTTCTGGTATATATCCAAATGAGGGCAGGTATCTGCACACACGCACGTTCATAGAAACAACCCAAGTGTGCCCCACGGATGAAGGGATCAACAGGAGGTGGTGCCTTCACAGGGGAATACGATTCAGGCCTGACGAGGAAGGAATTCTGACACAGGATTCCCTGGCACCAATGAACTATGGACACTGTGCCAAGTGAAATGACCAGTTCTACAAGTTGTGCTGCTGCCTGCAAGGTCCGGAGTCATCAAATTCAGACAGACAGAAAATAAAAAGGGGTGGCAGGGACTGGGGAGTTCCTGCTTAATGGGGAAGATGAAAACGTGCTGGAGCTGGCCGTGGTGATGGCTGCATGACAGAAATGCCCCTCATGCCACAGAGCATGCTGGGGATGGTCAGGTGGCCAGGTGTGGTGGCGCAAATCAATCACCTGCCAGAACGTGTGTGTGCATGCGTTTCCCTGCTCAGTGAGTTAGTGAGCTCTGGTCTCTACAGTTCTGTGGTTTGTCTTCTTCTTTGGCTGTGTCTTCTGTGCTCTCCCATGGGTGTGCCGACGACACACTGAGCACTGAATGCAGAGCGGTGTCTGCGAGGGGAAGGGAGGCCCGGTGCGGCTGTAGGCTCTCCTGTCCGCTCAGGCCCAGTCTTGGTGATTTTCCTTGCGGGGCTCAGACAGAGCCGCAGGATTGGCCAGGTGCTCTCCCCAGACTCTGCACACTCTCAGGGGCTGGGTCCCTGGCACAGACGGGCAGGGCCAGCCTCACCCCATCTTTTCCTTTCCAATTTCCCCTTGGTACTTTGTTTCAGTAGCGAGACAAACTTAGCATGTACTTGCAGGGGAGTTTTGTGACTTGGGTGGGGATTTCAGAAAATCAGAAACCACATTGCTGGAACAAGTGGTGGCCCATGCCTGTAATCCCAGTACTCGGAGGCTGAGGCACGAGGACTACCTCAAACTCAAGACCAGGCTGGGCTACATAGTGAGGACTTGTCTTAAAACAGAAACAAAATCAAAACCAAACCCAAACCCAAGTTGGCTGGCTAGTAAGCTTAATATATGTAGTTCAGAGAAATGGTCTACTTGTATAGAATAAGTATCTCAGAGAAAAAGATGAACTGAGGGAAATAGCCATGCTTTCAGAATCACTTTTTTTTTTTTTTAAGACAAGTTCTTTCTATGTAGCTCACCCAGCCTTGGACTCACTATGTAGCCCAGGCTGGCCTCAAACTCAAGGATCCTCCTGTCTCAGCCTCCCGAGTGCTGGGGTTACAGGTGTGCACCACCACGCCTGGCCAGAATCACTTTTTTAAAGTGCTATATTACATGGAAAGGAAAACCTGTGATTAAACAAGAAATTAAAGTGCCCTTCTTCTTTCACTTAGGAACTATGTCCCATTCTGAAAGCTTCCTGGAACCTAAGATAGGATTACCACATCCTTGACCCCATTATATTCACAGGTTCGGCAGGGTGACTGGGTGGAGAGGTGGCAGAGTGGGTGTTCAGTGTTGTCACGGCCCTGGGTCAGTAAATAAATAACAACAGAACGAAAGCATGAAATGTAAGTTTGCAAAAATAGAAAAAGGACTTGAACCACAACTCAACCTCATCACTGGAGAGCAGGAAATCTCTCACTCCATCCTGGGGAAAACCATGGGACTCGGTTTCCCAGGCACCTCATGACTTCACACGGCTTGGTGGGTGCTGCGTGGGAAACACAAAGGAGAACCTCGAAGGCTCTGCCTCAAAGCAAAGGCAACTGACATGCTTGGAGAGGCCCGGATGGCAGATGTGAGGA